GCCATGATGATCGATTCGAGACGCTATTCTGACACTGACGCAGCAGTCTCGGAGTCGACATCCGAATGCTCATAAGCCACAAATGGGAAATCTCTGCTAAGTCAGGATAGAGGTCCAAGCCGGCAGCCTCTGAGTCAAGTATCTGGAAATCATTTCAATTGGAAGGGGAATCACAAGCCTGGGAATGGCTCCGACAACGAGAAGTTGCTAGTCCCATCAGTGAAGCCTTGAACAGCACCCATAGGTTGCTGAATCCAACTCCCTGGAGCAGAATCTCTTCTACCTTACTTCTTTTTTGGTTAGTTTCTTCCAGAATCCTATTTGCAAGACCGCGCTGTAAACTCTGGATTGTAATAATCTCATAGTTACATTCCTCAGATTGATTACATAATAATACTGATGTCATTGTCAAGGTGCGGGCTTGCAGGTATGAAAAACAGATCAATTAAGGTAGTTGACACTCAGGCTAGCTACAGGCTATATATCCACAGGCCGCAGGCTGCTGGACAGGCTGGTACAGGAAGGCTCTATGGACAGGACGTAGCTCGAAGAGCTTCGGAATGTTGCAAGTTGTAAGATGGAAGATATTTCCAAGGTCACGTGACGCTCATCAACCGCAGCCTATCGCTGTCCGCGGCAGCACCGTGACAGTCATCTCCCTGAGTTTAACAGGAAGCCCCGGGGACGTGGACCTATGACCTCTGTAGTCCGCTGTCCAGAGCAGAAAAAGGTCATCAGTCTCAGGCCTGACTCGAGCGTGGGTTTGTTGTCTGAGGTCCGATGAGGTTGTAGATCTAGTGTCCTACGGTAGTTGATGTAGGTGTTGAGACCTCTATATCATGTCCTAGTCCAACTGTTTTAGGTTTGACTTACCAAGGCACCGCGGTCATAGGACCGGCCTGGGCAAGGGACCGACAACCGCTGGCCATGCTGGCCTCAGGACCGCCGAGGCCTTGAGACCATCTACCCTCGACATTTGGTGACTCAGGACCACAGTCAAGATACCACAATGATTACTATACAAATTTGGCCAGCAATATTTGGTCACACACGACGCTTTGTCCTTCGACGAGCCAGGAAACAGACTTCAGGAAGTATTACTGATTGAATGCGATCGATATCCTGAACGGGGTTGAACGGGTAGGAAAAACTCACTCCTGATGGGAGCACTGAAAAGGATGAATATAGTAGGGGGTAAATGAGGCTATTTAACTACCTAAAGCGAAACGAGCGTCATGTTACTGAGTTCTCCAAAGGCCCAGGTGGCGCTTCAGCATCTCAGCCAGGTTTTCAACCTCTTCTTTGCCTGCTTTGTGCTGGATCCGGATAGTTGCCGGCCATTGGCCAAGTGATGATCCAGGAGATCCGGCCTCCGAAACTTCACCACACGCTCAGCGCTACGTGGCAAAACAGCGAGTTTGAATGGCGGACGTTGCTAGCATCTTGCGTTTATAGCAACCACTGGCATACTGACTGGAAAGTACTTTGGCCTGCGAGGGCAGGCACACAACCAGTGCGCTTATATCACAGTCCTGAACTGGAGCCAACAAAGCGAAACCCGGGACATTCAGCCCCCGAATTAGCTCTGATTTACTAACGACAAACTGGGGATGATGCAGGATAGGACCCCCGCGAGATCAGCGCCTTCATCAGTAGTGATCGCGAATATCACCCCTACATTCGTACCGCTCTATAACAGTCTGCAGTCAGCTGGAACGTCTGCAAATAAGGATATCGACAAAGTACCGCTGGCAGCGTTCCGTCGATGAGAGGCTCCGACAAGCCCACGGAATGATCCTAAAGGGAAGGAGAATAGCCAAAAAAAATCTTTTTATGTACCATCCTTTCTGACAATTGTAAAGAGGTGGAAGACATACTAAGGAGCTAATCTACAGGCAACTTTGAAGACTATAGCAAGAAAACAAGTAATACTACCTCTGAATTATGTCCGGCTTTGAAATATTCTCTGGCCTGTCCCAGCATACCTTGCCGATAAGAGATCCCAATCCACAATGGTTTTCTCGACTGGTTTCACCTTGTCCCCTTCTTGGCATTTCGATGTTATTGTGTGCTCAACGGATGGCAAATCTTTTGCTCGTTCTTGAAGCGTTTATTCCAGTTAAGTACAGTAAAAGATATAAGCTTCTTCAAGCTTTCCCTTTGCGTAATCAGCCTCCTACCGTGGTGAGAGGTCAGAATTAGTCGAACATAGAGCAGCTCTAGGAGAACAAAACTTACTAAGCAGTCCTTGAAGCTGATAACTATCTCCTCTTCCTCTTTTATGAGAGCCTTTTGCTTCTGGGTCATTTGGTCTTGGTCATAGGTCTCAGCTCTATCAAAGTCTATCCAAATCACTCTTTCAGGGTCATTCTTGACCACCATCATATTTCTCGGCTTAGGATCCCCATGTCGGATAAGCGCCTTGTGCAGCTCTTTGAGACCCTCAATCAAGTTATCCATCCGTTTATTCGTGTAGTTCTGCAGTTGGATCATCTCAAGATCTGGGATGTATTCCAGAAGAATTGCGCTGGGAGGATATATATCCTCAAGGAAGTCTTTCAGATCTGGTTGATAACACCACGGATCTATTTTTTCGATGGTTCCATAGAATTGGGGGACCAGTCCCCGGTCACATAAACCGTGCTGCTTTAGTCGCCGGTATGCAGTAGACTCCAGAACATGAATGTCGAGTTCGCGGTCCTTTGGCTCGTAGTACTTTCGAGGGCCACGTCCATGGTGCTGTTATTGATTATCTATTAGATACGGTATGACTGAGAGTTTAATGAGGAGGCACGACTGACCACCTTCATGATGCATCTCCGACTCCGAATAGTAACAAGAAATATCACTGAAAACCTAGAGCTGGACAGCTTCTTCTCAAACGTGATCTCAGAAGGCTTTACATTCGCTAACTCCATTCTTGACAGATGCGGAAGGTAGACAGAAGAGACATGATGAGGTGGATGTTTGTTTATATTTAAGTTGCCGATTAATTGAGGACATGGTCGCGCATATCACGTGGGCGCTAACATCAAGCTGTTTTGCTGTGTTTGCTTTTATTATCAGAGCTCGAACTTAAAAGTGTGCCTATGATGCGGGGCATAAATTCTAAGGCGCAACACGCAACATTTGTCGATTCATTCACCATTATTTTACCCTGAAATGAACAGGCTGCAAAATGATTGGAAACAAGTGCGAACTTGCTTATTGTGCAAATTGCACAATTAAGCAGCGGAATCTGTTGGTGACAGGTTGGTGCTTACTTGTTCCACCCTTATGCATAGGATATTGCAGTCAATTCCATAAAGTAACTGGCTTTAAGCGCCAAACTACATGCTAGGAAAATGATCAGCCCCAGAGTTGGCTGCCTAAGTTATGTTGGGGCTAATGTCAGGACTGCTGGTGCTTCCATTTAAAACGCGGTGACACTGGAACTGGTCGGATTGCGCCAAATTGTCCACCACTTAAGGATTGCCAAGTCATCATCGGCATTGCACGTCTTTCTGACCAATCTAAGGAGCTGATAAATACTCAGATGTCAAAAATGTCCAAGGCAATCTTAAGTCTCATTCTTTATCTCTGAACATTGAGAATACTCAAAGCAGACATAAGTCCAGTCCTGCAAATTTCTACTAGAATTCTATACACAGAGGCTAAGGGCTCTCTACAGTTATCCAGGTGCGCGATTTGGAAGAACTATTGACACTTGAAATGAACTGAACTAGTCAATAGTAAATATATTGTCATCTCTGTTAACAATGGCAAACCAAGTCTCTCTCATGACATACTTGCAACAAGCCTTACCTGCAATTCCAACAAACCAACCTCCAAACCCAGGACACAATACTACAAACACACTTTATGGAGCTGCAGACATCAATAACATTGGCCGTTGGAATAATTTTAACTTAACAACGGTGCTTCAACGTTACCAGAATGTCCTGTTTCAGGCACACCTTCCATCAGATCCCATGCCAATTTCACCTCCACGTGCTATCACTGCCGAGAACGCACTCAGAAGCAAGCTCTCAGAGTACCTGCTACCAAGAGTCCGACGTGGACTTCGTGCTGGTTTTGGCTATCTAGCTGCCAATGGTCAGATGAGTGGCATTACAGCTCTGTCATTCGACGTTGGAGAGTATGCAGAGATTATCGACGGATTCAAGCCAGACACAGCGTACTTTGTTGTTAGTCTTCCGGAAGGCTCAGGTCCAAACCGTGCTCCAGGAGATATAAAGCCGTCTTGGAAATGGAACACTGCTATGGCAACACATCCTGTCGCTGGAGTTCGAAATGAGTATCGGCAGGCGTTGAGTCAAGTCAATTGGTATATGAAACAACACCGCTCTCGATATGGCTTTCTTGGCACAGATCGTGAATTCGTCGTGTTTCGGCGGTTGGACGACGATGGTAATCTAGAACTCGCCGAACCGATTCCATTCACTGCAGGTGGTACAGACGCACAGCCGCAAATGACTGTTTCGTTGGCTCTATGGTATCTTGGAATGCTTGCCGCCAAAGATCAGGGGGATGAATGCTGGTTTATCTGAGGAAAGAATTGACTTGCCCCAGTTATATGGTTCATGTTATTAGTCCAATCGAAATCGATTCAGTCGGAAACACTCCTTTCTCATTTTCCCATGTTCGCTCTTTACAAAAAAAAAAGCCTAACCTACTCAGGGTTTCGCCGACTTCATTTCGGTATAGCCATTCCCAGGGCTGTTAATCCGTTTTTGTTTGAGACAATTTCCCGATAAACATGCAACGTCACCAATCATCGAACTGGACAGGCCAGAAGAAATTGGACATATAACCCGCATAATTAGAGCCAACATACAGGCTGTTGCCGATGTAGTCACGACTGCCCGAGCCACTCCTTCTTGTCGGAGTCGCTGCGGTCTTTTGCGAGTTCCGCTTCATGGCAGCGATCGAATGCGCCCATTCATGTCAATTTTGTGGCCACAGAGCAGCTTCACTGTGTCCATGAGCGGATTAGTAAAACATCAACAACCTCAGTGGGCTTTAGATGACGTCCTACAGGAGGATATTCAATCCAGGTCCTTCCCCTTAATAAAGTCATCAAAGGATACATCATTGCCGCTGCGTAAACGAGAGGTTGCCACTGATAAGAGGATGTGCTTAATATCCTCAGGGATCTGCAGGCGGTTTAAATGAGGTTCGGGACCACTCAATGCTCCGCAAATCGGCGACCACGCACTCCACTGGATCGATCAGTAAGCAATTCAGGCGGCCATAAACACGTGACTTACAAAAACATTTCTCGTTGAAACTGAAGCAATGGACCGTCGAACAACAGATCAGGAAATCATTATCTGTCATCGCGTGTGCTTCCTTTCCGTTGGTTTTTAATCTCTCCATTTCTGCTTGACGTTCCTCTGCGCTGAGCGAAATGGCATGAGCAACAGATCGATCTTCCCAGCCATCTTGAACGGTACGAAGATATAGAAGTTCTATACAGGCATTTTTATCTTAATATTATGGAATTATATACATTGAAATAGCTGGAAGCTACTTTAGTATTATTTTGCGCAAAGGCAACAAATTTCATAAGCAGTTCAACGCCTGAATGCGCATCTCAACTCGCCGGTGCACCAGCAGAAGGTATACCATTGCCCGAATTGGAAGGGCAAGTGTGCGAGGACTTTTGTCACGTTGGCCGGATTATTCAACCATTTAGAGAGTGAGACATGTTCCTTTATGAGGTTTGAGATGGTGCAGCGAGTGAGTGCAGTTCTAGGATGCTGTCCCAGAATCCTGGTCTTTTTGCCCTTAGCTCAGCGGTTTAGCTCTTAGAATGTACCCTAGGTGCCGGATCGTGACAGTTGCTGCAGCTTTCACTTCTGTCGAAGTCCATGACGCATTACATGACAGTCTGTGTGTGCTGAT